CTAATAGGTATTATATCACACAACAACGGTTACAAATAAAATGAACTATTTATTTGTTATATTAACTACCAATCACCTTTACAAGTTCGTACAAGTTGCCCAACAAGTGTTTGGTCATGTTGTCTCGAGATTGAGATTTATTAGAAATTGATAGAAATTGTAATCATTTTATAATAGCAATCTGGATTTAATTTTACAAACAAATTAAATCTAAGCTTGACTTTGTTTGAGCGATCGAGTCTTGATAATTGAATTGGTGTATTTTATCATTGATTGTGAAATCATCACATATGCGTGTAAGCATGATACAAATGAAACAAAATATTTTATAACTAGTCTCTTTTGATTAGTTAAACGAATTAATTTTGGTTGTATAAAGTGATATAATTGTTCTACTAGTAGTACTATTAGAAAAATAAAAAAAATCATTACTTCTTATATATTAACAACTGTTTTTGTTGAGTCAATATTCAGATGACACGAGTGGTTATTTATTTAATTAAATGACAACTCTTTTCTTAATAATGAAAAATAACAGTTAACTATATAGGTGCACCGAATTAATCTATAATTTTAGACACTCGTAGAAAAATGGTTTTTAAGTACGATCATTAACCATAGCAAATGTACTAAATTTGTAGTAAAAATGCTTTTATTACCCATTTGGTACCAATTTGCACCGTAGCATATATGGGTTTGACAATTTTTTTTCTTTTTATAATAGCTGTGTAATCAGTGTTTACATACATTAATTGTTCATTTAGCCGATCCTCTATTTATATACTTGTCCATTATATATATTTCTGCACATACATCAAACCTTCAATAATAAAAATTAATAATGGACATGCCTGAATTTGAGAATGGTCACAAGCTGCTTCACATAGCAATGTTCCCATGGATCGGCATGGGCCACGTCACTACCTTTCTCCATCTCGGCAACGAGCTCTCTCAACGAGGACACCGCATCTCGTTCTTGCTCCCCATGAAGGCTCTTGTTAAGCTCGACCACAACCACGACCACTCGCACCCAATCAAATTCCACATTCTAAACGTGCCCCATGTGGACGGCCTGCCACCTGGCGCCGAGACTTGTTCGGACATCGACGACAACCTCACCGAAAAAAATCCACTTGCCGTAGCCTTCGACGCCATGTCCGAACAAGTCGAGGCGCTCTTGCGCTCCCTCAACCCCGATATCGTCTTTTACGATTTCGCACACTGGATACCCCGGCTCGCCGCGGTGATCGGCTTCAAAACGGTCTGCTACAACACGGTCTCCGCCTCGTGCATGTCGTACACTGTCGTACCGGCGAGGCGCATCCCGAAGGACCGGATGATGACGGCGGAGGAACTGGCGGAGCCCCCGGAGGGCTACCCTTCCTCCACGGTGGTGCTCCGGGGGCAGGAGGGCTTGATGATGTCATTCATCTGCGAGGATTACGGTGATGTGAAGTTCGACGTGCGCATGTCGACCGCGTTGTGGGGCTGCGACGCGATTGGCGTGCGCACGTGCAGTGAGATGGAGGGGCCCATGTGCGAGTACGTGTCGCGGCAGTACGGTAAGCCCGTTATCCTAACCGGGCCGGTTCTGCCGCGGGTTCAGGAGGAGGTGCCGCTGGAGGAGAAGTGGGACACGTGGCTGAGCAAATTCGACGAAAAGTCGGTTGTGTACTGCGCTTTCGGAAGCCAGACGATTCTTCAGAAGAAGCAGTTTCAAGAAATGCTGTTGGGCTTCGAGATGACCGGGCTGCCGTTTATCGTGGCGATGTCGAAACCGCATGGGGCGGACACCATTGAAGAGGCTTTGCCGGAGGGGTTTACGGAGAGGGTGGGTGGTAGAGGGGTGGTGCACGGTGGTTGGGTGCAGCAGACGCAGATACTGAACCACCCGTCGGTGGGTTGCTTCGTGAGCCACTGCGGGTTCGGGTCGATGTGTGAGTCGTTGATGAGCGACGCGCAGATAGTGGCGGTGCCGCAGTTCGGGGATCAGGTGCTGAACGCGCGGCTGATGGCGGCGGAGCTGAAGGTGGCGGTGGAGGTTGAGAGAGGTGAGATGGGGTGGTTCTCAAAGGAGGATTTGAGCAACGCCGTTAAGTCGTCTGTGATGGACGTCGGCAGTGACGTAGGCGAAATTGTGAGGGAGAATCATGCTAAGTGGAAGGAAACCTTCGTCGCCCCGAAATTTATGGATGACTACATCGACCGTTTCATCAAACAATTATATCACCTCTAATTGCCGTCCCCTTCTTCATTTTTTCTCTCTTTTCTTCTCCGCAGCCAATTATATAGGTGAACTGCGTAAATATACAATCGTGTATAATAATTTGCAAACTATAAAAGAAATGTAAACCATACTAGACTAACTGTATGTGACAAACTCGACCTAGCACTTGCTCTAGTCGCTAGGTCATCCTTTACGGGACACGTTTCCTATTTTTTCATATATATGTACCGAGGGCGTTTCATTTGATTTTTCGTTGTGGTTTTTATTTTTACATTTTATATATATCTAATACCATTCATAACCTTAATTGTTGGGGTGGAAATTGGAATGTAATTTTCGAATTTCGCCGATTCCGATTCGAAAATATCCGAATTTGGAACCGTATTTTTCATTATGATTTTCGAAGTTTCGATTTCCGATTCTTCCGAATTTAATTGGAATGAAATTATAATGGTATTTAAAATTTTGAAATTCCGATTTTAGTTTCGAATATTTCTATGGTTTTTGGGAATATAAAATGTAGTTTTATGATATATTTTGTAATTCCAAAATATAACTTATGTTATATTTAATATGAAAAATATAAATAACGAATGATCAAGTAAATTAAAACACTATATTAAAAAATTAATTGGTATAGAAACTTTGTGTTACCAACCCTCATTAGAAGAGTTGGTACCTAGCCTTACCAACATGGTAAATGTCTAGGGTTCGAGTCCCCCCTCCCCTACATCGTCTTCTTGTATGTTGCATATGGACTTATAAGAAAATCTATGTTCAAATTTTCAACTCGTTGTTCCTACATACATGTATTTTTTATTTATTGCAATTTGTCGAATTCTCTTTTGAATTTTCTTGCATTTTCTTGCAAATTTTCAAAAATGATAGAAAAATATTGTGAAAACTAAAGTAATTTAGTGAACTTTTGCATTCCAATTTTTTTGGGACGGAAATTGGAACCCATTTTTACTTCCGAAAAAAAAATGATTTTTTTCGAAAAAGCTATTTTCAATCCATTCCGTCCGATTTCCACCCCTACTTAGTTGTTTTTGCTCCAAGATTCCCTCATATTTTCCTTTTAATTCCCCTCCCTAATTTCGCTCCTAAAAATAGAACCACTCAATTCTAATTCTGGAATGCTAATTGCAGCGACACTTTTACTAAAAATACAGCGGGCTTTCTCACCTTCGAATTAGAAGATTTTAGATTCTGAAGCTCGTTGCACAAAAACAAAAACAAAAACTTCAGTGGTCGATCATGATAACGATTACAAGGTATAGTCCTTGGAATTCCCGTATTTGTTGATGTTGAACACGAAAACATAAAAAAAATAAAAAAATAAAAGTAAAAGTACGCAACAACAAGAAAACATAAAAAACAAAAAAAAAATTAAAAAAATAAAAAATAAATAAAAAAGAGAGAGAAGGTTTCTCCCTCTACATGACGAAACACCCTAAGATTCGTGATGTACGCAACAAAACTTTGGTGATTCGTGATGTACGCAACAAAACTTTGGTGTTTCGTCCTGTATAGGGCGAAACACCCTAAAATATTTTTTAATTATTTCTAAACACATATGTTTTATATTTAACTACTATTTTTTTTCTAGTCTACGTCGATGAAGACGAATTTGAGGATGACAATATGTGTTATAATATTCCTATGAACGCGTTCGAATATGAGGATTGATATTGCGTTTGAAACAAGAAAATCACTATTCGAAGGGGTCAAAAACACCGCTGCTAGCCATGGTCATCGATTGATTTGTGCTTCAAGCCAGAAAAATGTTTATCAAGTATTGACATGTCATTTGTTTGAGTATGGACGGGAAAAACGAACCGATTTGGAGAATCTTCGAAATGTGGATGTCCGTTTCGCTTATACGGTAGTAGAAATCAAAATGATGGATTATGGCGACTCAGTGTAGAATATGACAATCACATTCGCAAGCCGCCACCCTATTCCACCAAATAGTTGTTTGACAGCAGAATAGTACGAGGTAGTCAAATTACTTAGAAGGAGCCACGTGAAGCCGTCATTAATTATGGATCGTTTGAGAAAGGATAATCCGCAGACAACGACATCCATGAAACATGTCTATAATCAACTTGAGAAGATGAAAAGAGAGAATAGCGGGGGAGATAGTGATACAACACGTGATGCATAACCTTCAACAAAGTGTTTATGAATACTGGTATCGAAGTAATGTACGTAGCCAAAGATACATTGACTAATATTATGTTTGCCGCCCCTATTTCGATGAAACTATTGCAATTATTTTCTCATGTTATATTGATGGACTACACTTACAAAACCAACAGGTATGTAATTTATTTTCGTTCTTTTGATATTTAAATATTGTAGTTTTATTGCATTTGTTATTTAGATTTCGAGGCACAAAGTGGAAGAGTGATAAGTGTTCGTTTTGCACAACTTTTACTTATCGAATCTTCGAGTTTTGGTCTTCATTCGTCCGAGTTTTCGGCTTTATTTCTATATATTATGCGTTTCTTGTTTTATTTCTTTTATAGGTAAAGAGAAGCTATTTTTGCCGATTCGAAACGATTTTGGAAGCGAAGCCGAGAATCAAGTCAAACAAGAGCATAAATTGCAATCAAGTGGATGGTGGCAGCGTTCGGTATTTTATGCATAACTTCTTCATACGACCTCCGATTGAGCTGATTCAAATGGATTTAGAAAGCCAACTGCAAGGGCTACAACGTTTGTGAAATGCAAAATCGTCAAATTCGGGCTACAAAAGGGTCAAAACAGAGTTTGAAGTTATTGCAGCGACCATATCGCGATATGACTTTCCATATCGCGATATAAGAGAAAACGAAACAGAGAGCTTGCATTTTTGCCATATCGCGCGATATGCCATTCCATATCGGGATATGGGGAGAAACGAAACAGAGAGCTTGCAATTTTACCATATCGCCCGATATTGCTGCCCATATCGCGATATGGGCAACAATGCGTAAAAAATATCTAAAAAGGCAAAGTTTCCTCAAGAAAATTTTCCCTACTATAAATACAAACCCCTTGTGTCATAAAACAAAAAGGACTCTCTCTTCGACTTTTTCTTCGGGTTTCTCCTAGGTTCTCGCCAGTTCTTCGCGGGAAGCTTCGACGAGGGTTTCGACTAGGGTTTTTCATAAGCTTTTTCTTTACGTTTAGTTTATGATTTCTCGTGTTCTTCATTTGGATGCTATGTTTGTAATGAACTAAGCATTTTCTTTTAGGGAAATGAAACCTTGTATATATTGATTTTGATTTCCAGATCTGTGATCTATTTGTCGTTCTTTGATTCTGTTTATGTTTTCCTGTATTAAATGCTTTCGATTGTTTGGCCAACAGTTGAATTGATTGTAAATGGGAATGAACTAGAGAGAGGATTTCTTGTTTGATCTTAGGAAAACATAGCTCGGGTTGTGGAAACGGAGACGTGATGCACCTCGGGTAGCCCTTAAGGACTTGACCTAAATGCTCTCTTAATATCAGGTTTTGAACGGAGACGTCGGACCTGTGGGTAGACTCTAACTACACTGGAGACGGGGGTTAGGGTATTTTAGTGTCTGGGATAGCGAATATAGAATTGACATTAGATTCGGATTTGTAGATCTTTATCGATAGTACATTGGTGGATTTTACCCTAGAAGCCATCACACGTCGGAATTCCTCGCTTTTATTGGCGGACCGTTGCTTTTATTATTGTTTCTTTCTTTTTAGCTTCATCCCCCACCCTTTCGATCGTCTAGATAAAGTTTAGGATAGTATAATTACGGTACTTGGTAAATTTAGGAACTTAATTCCCTGTGGATCGATATCTGGAATTCACTATTCTACAAAACGCGATACTGTACACTTGCGGTTTTTCATACGTAGGTTTTACGCGTATCAAAGAGGCAATCTGAAGATTTTGTGGGGCCATGGGAAAGATAAAACCGATGCATGGATGACGTTCCATTAACTGTTTAAGCTCAAAGAATTATGAGGAGTAGGCTTTCGAGATTTCAAAAGCTTCAAGCTTGCTCTTCTCGCGAAACAACTATGGCGAGTTCTTACGATACCTAAGCTATAGTGAAAAATTCCGAAAGCAAAATATTTTCGAGATGGAGATGTGTGAACTGCAGCATTAGGGACGCGGTCTCTAACTGTGGTTTCTATCGCAATCTCTGAAGGATGGAACTCAGTGATTGGTCTAAGGTTATTGAAGTTCTCCAACACGGTGCTTCGACACTAGCTAGTTCCTTTCGAGGTACCCCGAAAGATTGTTTCTCTACTAAGGTTTTTTCTTCATGTTTTTTTTCTTTTGTTAGTAAACAATCTAATTCTCTTGCTCATGGTTTAGCGTCTTTGACGAATAATGGTTGTAACTTGTAAGGAAGGTTCTTGTCTTCCTCCAAACTCGGCGATCTACGCTTTAATAAAATCGGTATTTTCTCAAAAAACAAATGATACCCATAATTGTATGATTGTGTCTTTCCAAATAAAACTTAAAATGTAAAACTTATTTTTGACCCCACAATGTTAGCATATGTAAATATTAACATGTAAAGCAATCAAATCTTAACAGAGAGTTATTTTTTCGATTTCTCCCCATGTTTGTAGATTCTAACATAGCACAATCAAGCAAAGCGTGGTAACCGTTATTTGTGTAAATAAAGAGGCATATTACGCCGTATTTGTTGGCGATATTGTTAATGTTTATGGACACAACCGATTTCCGACAATATTTTATTTGCCAAATGAATCATTGTATTTGCTTATTTAAAAAAAATATATATCTAATTATACTTATTTAGAGACTCTTATGAAACTATTGTGTATGTATTGCCATATGTGATTTTCATCAAAGATAGAATTTCTACAATGCCTATGTTGTGTAGAAAAAAAAGGGCTGGTAAAATGATTGTTGCAAGAAGTTTTAGTCCAATGGAGCAGAAGAAATTGGGATGTGCTGCATTTTTCCTTGCTTTCTTCATTATCGCGGTCACCCTTTCGTCGATTTTCAAGCCGTATCTCGGCCCTCTACCCACATGTAAGTTTTATTTTAATCTTTTTCTAGTTATTTGAATAACAAAAGTTCAATTACATGTACAAAGTACATATTTCCAGATTCATAACTTCTGAATTTTATCTATTAAATTAACAGTGCAGAAGTATGATTTTGAATAATCATGTATTGCAATGGATTTAAGAAAATCGCCTATCGTTTTAACATAATCTTTTACTAATTATCACTAGTATTCTTCTCTGTGCGATGCATGAAATATCATTTCAAAAGTGAAAATTGTACAATTAGTAGGAGAAAAGAAAACATAAAAAAAAAAAAAAAATTACAAAGATGCCATCAAAGAAAGATGAATAACTTCTTTTTATATACATTTCCAGTTCTACGAAAATCGAATTCTCATACACAATAGTTAATGTAGCAATTTTCGCCAGCAAAAGTCGAATATATAATTAAAAATTATAACTATGTTTCTTTATTGTAAAATTCGAACTTAAGAAGAACTGACAATTAATTTACTTTGTATCAATTTGTGTTTCAATAATCCAGATTTTGGCGTAGAGAATACAATGAAGAATCCAATTATTTCCAACCTGAGCAACTCAGTATCAGACGTATACGAAATAGAAGGTGACGTCAGAATCCACGGCAGCACATCCACAATCTTCATATCTTCGCCGCCACAGCAGATCAACAGTACAACAACCAAACAATTCTGGTCAACGAAACCCTACCCCCGAAAAGAGGACACCGTCGCCATGGCTAAAGTCACCGCTTTCAAAATCCAATACGCCACCGCCGTATCGTCTCCGCCGCAGTGCGACCAAATATTCACATCTCCGGCGGTCGTATTCTCCGCCGGAGGGTACGCCGGAAACCACTACCACGCCTTCGTCGACGTCCTCGTCCCGCTCTTCTCCACCTCCCACCATTTCAACCGCGACGTCGTCTTTCTCGTAACAAACGACCTCTCGGGGTACAACTCCTCCAGCTGGACGTCCAAGTACAAATCAATACTCGATCAATTATCCAAACACGATATTTACAAAACCGACACCGAGAATCAGGTGTTGTGCTTCTCAAGAATCGTCGTCGGCCTAATCAAAACCCCAAGAGAGTTCGCCGTCGTCGACCCGCGTTACTCCACAAACAATAACTCGTCTACGAGGGACTTCAACAAGATGGTCCGAAGCGCGTACTCGTTGAAAAGAGAATCTCTGAGCGAGGACATAAGAATATTCCGCCAGCCACGTCCTCGCATGCTCATCATTCGGAGAAGAAGAGACCGCCACTTGTCGAACGGGAAGGAGACGGTCGAAATGGCTCGGAGTTTAGGGTTCGATGTTGTAATGAAACCGGTCGTGTGGAACGTTTCTTCGGTTGCACGGTTTGTGAACTCGTTCGACGTATTAGTTGGTGTGCATGGGGCTGGTCTTACGAACATGGTTTTTCTGCCCGAAAATGCGGTTGTTATTCAAATTGTGCCATTTGGTTTGGAGAACTTGGCCCGAAGTTGCTTCGGAAAGCCCGCCGAGGGTATGAACTTTAGGTACTTGGAATATAAAGGGAGTTTAAATGAGAGCTCTTTAGTGGGGAAATATTCGGACGGGGCTAAGGTTTACGCGGATCCGGCTGCGATTTACCGGAAAGGGTTCGACGGTTTTCGTTCGGTGTATTTGGATAATCAAGATATTAATCTTGATTTAGGTAGGTTTAAGGGAACCCTTTTGAAAGCATTGGAGCTCCTCCGAGTTTAGGGTTTGCTTTAATTTCCATGGTTACACGATCATTAATTTGAATGAAATTTTGAATTTGATGTTTAGTATATTTATTCTCTTTTCAAGTACTCTCTCTTGCAATGTTTTGATAATCAGATCGGACATTGATCTGGACAAGCTATTGGGTCACGGTTTGAATCGGTTCAACTGGGGTCAACCAGTTCTTTCATTTTTTTTAGGGGAAATATGCAATCCCCCCCTAGAATGGAAAATATTATGTAAAAAACCCATTTGACTTTTAAGACTTTTGCTCACATCCATATCCAAATCTTAATTAGTGAGACCCCCTTATTAAGATAGGATAAGACACAATTACCCTTAACAGCAGTTATTAAAATAAATCAAATATTTAATAATTTTAAATTAAGATAACCGTTTCCTTTTTTGTAGAGGGACGTGATATCTTCAACATAATCTTCAGCCGATTTTCAGCGTGATTTCAGCAGACACAATCAAATATATTTGGGGCGAGATCGAAGTGCATAGTCGTCACTCTGTATTCTGTTTTGTGCTTCGTGTTGAAGAAAAGTTTCGAGGAAAAAGGTGAGCGATGAATTAAGTGTTTTATTTGTAATTAAGATAATGATTATGATGTTTTTGATTCGCAAATTTTTATTTCTTTTTTTGTTCCGATCCGATTGATATGGGTTCGTCGTGTGTATGTTGTATCTGATTTCTGCTTTATACCGATTTACAGAGTAGTCACATTGCATATGTCGTATCTGATTGTAGTTTATATTGATTTACAGAGTATTCACATTGCTCTGTATGTAGTGATTACATATTTTGTTTTGTTGCGTTATTGTGTTTGTTTACAGTAGTTTCTGAGATTTTTAGTTTTATATAATTGAATCAAGAGTAGTCTTATTTTTAGGCAGTTGTGATGATATTATAGGTTTTGAGCAGTCATAATCGACATTTTTTTCTTCAGTGGTGCACAGTATGTCGTCCAGCATGATGGTTTTTATGAAGTACGGAGGGTCGTTCGGGGTGAAGATATGCCGAGCTGATTTTGTGTATGAAGACCTTATTGGATTTGTGACAGAGAAGTGGTGCAGCTTGAATGCGAGGGATGTTACGATGACATACAATGTTGATGGTTATGGCGAGGGCATGGTGGGTGACAATGATGAGGTAATGTATATGAAATCGTTGGTTCGACAACTAGGTCTTGACCGTGTCGAGATAACTGTGAAGAGCAAAGACAATGTTAATGCAGTAGTGTTGGCGAGGGCTCCACAATCAACATCACTCAATGCGATGGGTAATTATCTGTGTAACGACATGTGTGTTCGTCCGAATGCGTTGACATTTGATAACACACAATTATTGAGTACCAATTGGAGAAATCTTATTAGGGAAGTAGGGCAAGGATTTCGGAACGGGGCTGTTGATTTCCGGGATGCATTGCGGAAATACGCTGTTGAAGTTGGGTTTGAATTTAACTATGTGAAGAATGAACCTACAAGGATTACGGCAGAGTGCAAATACAGGGTGATGAAGAAGTGTATGTGGAGGATTCATGCCTCGCTACAGAAGGCAAACGGATTCTTTTATATTAGGACATTTGAAAAACATCATTCGTGCGGAGCTTCATTTGGTTCATCGAGCAAAAATAGGTTGACGTCTGATCATGAATGCAGTTAGAATCAAACCTGAAATGGCCCCGAATGATGTCGTGCTCAATGTCAAATTGTACTATGGCATTGACATCAGCTATTTTGTTGCTTGGAAGGCACTTGCTGCGGGGAAGCATCATGTGTTTGGTGACGCTACGACTTCGTACTCGTACTTGCCCTTGTATTTTGAAGAGCTTGGGCGTAGCAATCCGGGCAGCGTGTACCATCTTGATGTCGATCCAGTATCAATGAAGTTTAAGAGGTGTTTTTTTGCTTTTGAAGGGAGTTTTTCAGGGTTTAAGGCATGTCGACCTATGCTGGCTCTTGATGGGACCTTTTTGTCTGGAAAACACAGGGGAATCCATCTAAGTGCGTTGGGGAAAGACAGTGAAAACGGTACAACCCATTGTTTTTTTTAACATGACTATATATGACTACAGTACTTATTGTATGTTTCCAATTGCGCAGGTTTGTTTCCAGTAGCTTTTGGAATAGTGAACGAGGAGACTGACGACAACTGGGCGTATTTTCTACGACATTTAAAAACTGCTATTGGAACAGATCGCGTGCTCACATTCTTATCAGATCGTAACCATGGAATTTTGCGCGGTGTGAAGGAAATTTTCCCTGATTGTGGACACATATTTTGCCTTGTCCACCTGCAGAACAACCTATTGCACAAGTGTAGAGGCTGCCCGACTAATTTTCGAGAGGGTATTGTTGCTAAATTCAATGCTTGTGCGTATGCACCCACGAAGATTGAGTTCCATCAGAAATTGAATGAGTTGAAAGAATATGGAGGCGCAAGGGTAGATAATTTCATTGCTGACTTACCCTTTGTTAACTGGACATGTTCGTATTTTGTCGGAGATCGGCATAATGAGATGACCTCAAATGCTGCTGAGTCGTGGAACTCGAAGATCAAGGGTGCTCGTGATTTTCCTATCACAAATTTTATCGATTATATCAGGGGTGAAGTCATGATAAATATTAGCATTAGGGCTGAGGAAGGGGCGACGATGACGACGGAGCTTAGCTCCAAAGTCCATGAGCAGGTGGATCAGTTGGTTCAAGAAGGTAGAGTATGGGTAGCGAGGAAGTCGTCGGATCATATGTTTGAGGTTCTGTGCGACCCAACTGCAGTTGTTGATATAAAAGAAAGGGTGTGTTCGTGTAGGATGTGGCAGATCACTGGATTGCCTTGTGCTCATGCTGCTTGTGTGTTGTTCAATAATTCTAATGAGGGCTATAAATACGTTGACAAATATTATCGCACCGAGTCATACCGGGAGACTTACTCGCACCCTGTTGTGCCATTTGTGCAGCCTACGATTGACAATAATATGCCGATTGTTGGGCCCCCTGACCACCACGTTCGTAGAGGGAGGCCTAAGTCAAAAAGAATACCATCGAAGGGAGAGAAGATCAAACGGAAGATCAAGTGCAGTCGGTGCAACCGAATTGGATACCACAACAAGAAGACGTGTTTGATGGCCATTATAGGGGGTTGATGATTGTTTTTTTCAGTTTTTTATTGTTTTTAAGGATTAAGTGTGTTTTTTTTTCTTTATGGATAAATTTTATTTCAGTGTTTTATTTTTTTACATCACAAGACATATGTAGTTATTTTAATGCGACTTTAATTTGCTTGGTGTTTTTTTCTGAATTTTTTGATTGTTTTTATCTCCACATTTGTTTTCATTATAAATGTTTGCAAACTGTTTCCAGCGCTGGATACTTGTAGTCATCTTCGGTAGTGACATTATTCAGCCATAGTCACATACCAGTCATACTGCTTCTATGTTGTTCAGTGTACTGTTTTGCTCACCGTTGTCATATTCAAAACAGTTAGTATAATAGTCACATTCGCGCTGGTGTGTTTTAAGCAGGAATGTGGGTATGTAAAGTAAATTTCCTTATAATGTATGTTGTTTCACACCTGTAGTTCTAATGATTTACAAGCATAGTCACGTAGTAGTCATATGCTTAACGGTATCTTAATAATCGTGATACATTATGCTAATGCCACTGTTATGCACACCATAGTTACATGCTAGTCATATTTCTCACTTGTGAGGTTATGTGTAAATAATTATTTGTCTAAACAATAATAAAATGTCAATTCAATAGCATCAAAAATTAACATTCAGGTCTGTTTAATAATGTCTTGAAAGCAATACCAAATTCAAAAGAAAAAAAAATACCAGAGTGTGTTCTGGACAACATACAAGTTAGCATAACAGAAATGAGATGAAATCCTCGAAGAGTAAAATACAATAGAATAGCATGTTAGAGGTTGCAGTGTAAAAATGCTTCCACAATTGTCCTGCGCATATCTACGACACCTTCTTCCGCCTCTTCTATAATCATTTGCTGCTGCAGGAATGCCTCTTGGATGATGTACAAGACGATAATGCCACAATCGTTTGTGGCAGGCTTTTGCTAAGGCGAGTCAGCAACTGCATACAATGGTGCATTCTGTGGAATTGCGGATATATTAAAGGCAGATGCATTGAATTCGACAAGTTTTTTCTGTATGTTGGAATACATGTCAATGTATACATATGGAATAGTGGTAACGGGGAAAAACAAACAAATAAACGGCATACCATATCAGAGCCATCTTTAAGGTACTTGTCTGTTATTCCATCACGTGGGCGTAAAGAGTTATAAAATCGCCATTCTTTTAGTTGACAATCCAATATTAAAACTGTCCAGTGGTCAGCACGAGTATTGGGGTTGCCAACTGACAGCAACGGGAATATTAAGTATCTGTGCATGCCGATGTCCGCGGGTATGTCAAAAGTTTTGTCGTTTGTATGACGCGACATGGTCTGTAATAAAACGTAGTAAGTTATGTTTATATTTTTAAAATATGAAAATAGAGGGGAAGTTAAAATATGCACCAGCAGTAGGCTGTTAAACACAAAAACTGAGCCGGCAAGTTCATTTCCTTTGGCGGGTGTGTAACATCCGATCTTTTGTTGGTGCATGAGTATTTTGCAGTAACCATCTATGACCTGGAAGTTTTATGTGACTATTATAACATTGAATGTGACTGTTCAATACAAACACCTGTATAAAGTAATATATATATATATATATATATATATATATATATATATATATATATATATATATATAGAGAGAAGTTTGTAAAAACTTTACGTTGTTCGATGTCTGTTCGAGCCTGAGCAAGTGGAATATGTCAGATATCAGTATATGTGTAGTACCATGTTTCCATATTGATTTGCTGCAATAAGCCAAGACGAGGGAGATGGTTAGAGTGCACAAAATATACACTACATAAACAGAGTGCAAAAAAAAAACAAAAAAAAAAAATAATGGATCAATGGCTTACTCACCGTTCAATAGTTCATCCGCTAGCGCATTAATCCTTTTTTTGTCACTATCACTCATTTAAGTATACGTTATCTCGTGTTTGTGCCTCAGATCGCGGCGTGCCTTTTTTGTGCTGCGAGGAGTTACAGTCGGCTTTTTGGATCTTGTACGGTTCCCTATAGCAGAATTTGGATTCTTCGGAGTTTCTTCCTCACATATTTCGAAGTCTATGTTTGGAACTGCTATGAGTGGTGGGCGGTTGTCAAGTGCACTGGAATATTGATCAATTATAGCCTCGAGTTCTGAGATTTTTTGATCTCTTGCTTTGATGGTTGCCATATGTTCCTTTTCTGCTGCCTTGAGTATTGTGTTATCAGCTTCTAGGAATAATATTTGAGCGTCGGACTCACTCAAATTTGTCAATTGCACATCTTCCATCAGCAATGAATGGGATTCTTCGCATGCGGGATTGACTAATATTCTGGATGGGTGGTGTGCAGATTGAACTGGGGTCGTATTTGCTAGCTTTTGGACAAGCGTTTTGTTTGCTGCTTCGAGCTCTGCCAAACGCACATGTAGCTCAATGTTTTGTGCGTGTGAATCGTCAAGATCCTTATTTTTCTGGGCAATCGACGTTTGCGTTGGTGTCAGTATTTCAAACGATGGCAAATTGTTGTTTCCAAGATCCCGTTCCTCTTCAAGTTTTTCAAGTTTGTCTTGGAGTGCTCTTTTTTCATCAAGCAGCACTTGAGCTGTGTTACCTAGTAACGTCATCCTCACCTGGACTTCCTCAAGTTGTTGGATTTCTGCTGCCATGCGTGAGTTTTCTATTTTCAAGGAAGTCGGTTCAGAGTTTTGCACATTGATATGCTTCATGGCATCTGCTAACTTCAGGTTTGCTTCGTCTACTTGCTTTGCTAGTATTATGACATGTTTTGTTTTCTCCTGACTGTTTGGTGAAGGTATAGCATTGAGTCTGCGAGTTCAAAAGACTAACTGATCAACGATGGTGACTATGTAATATGACTACATCAAAAAAAATATATACTTACGAAGGAGTCAACACAATATGACTATACATATTGCAATAGTCACGTGAAATTATAATACAGAGCAAATTGACAGCATTGAAAATGAATGTTATTTTGAAATGCACCTCTGATAATGGGGGGATCCATGTGATGATGTAAAAAATATTTTTTAAAAAGGCCCAAATATCCAAAAAAAAAAAGGTAGTATTTCCATTTAATATGTTCGTAATATGACTGTATATGACGGTTTAAATGTACCTGTCCACATGCGACTGCAATGTTTTTTTCTGTGACTCGAGTCTTGTGATTGTACCCCTCAGTACATCTGCTTCATTCACGAGCTGTGTAACCTGATGTTGGAGGGATGATTCACGAGAATGGCATGCCACGATTTCATTTTTCAGTTTATCTACATCGTGTTGCATATCTCTGTAATGTTGCTTCAGCCATACGGCAATAGGGACATCTATGTCAGCAGTAGGGTCGTCATCTGTTTCACTATCATCAACAATCCTTTCATTGATTTTCGTGTCATTGTGCGCGAATGGATCAGTGATGTTGTCACCTTTGGTGCTCATCTGGTTGGCGATTTCGTGAAGTGCAGAAGAAGCCATTGCTTCTCTTTCTTCGCTGTCTGTACTGTTGTCATCTGTATCATCGCCTTCATTTTCACTGCTCTCTTCCATGGCTAAATGCCCGGTTAGGATTTGAGCTTCTGTATGTGTTGGCACCAAAGGTTGGTCATTGACATCATCGGGTTGAATGTCTCTTATGGCTGTAGTTGATATAACATTAGCCAGCTCCTGTATCACCCAACGGCGGAATCGAGGGAATGCATTTTCTGTGACAAGCTGAACAAGTTTGGTTCGTTCACATATGAAATACTGCATTTTAAAATAAGAACATGAATAATCAGTTTGTGTATTTAGTAAATGATGTCGGTGTAACATTTGATGAAAGATTGAAGTATGAGATTCTTACCAGTATTAGTGGAATACAACCCTTTGTTTTGTCTAGTTTCTTTGCAACATGTATTTGATGCTGCAGGAACTCTGTTATACCCATCGGCCAGTTATACGCCATCGTTTGATCAATGTCTCGCACGTACTTGAACATCCACCATGCAACTATTTCAGCAGATGTGTTGAAGAAAACTGTAGACATGAGGTGCAAAATGATAAGCCGGACTGCATCCTCAACGTCGACTAAAGAATCGCTCTGCAAGCACTCAAGCAGCTTCACTTTTAAATCTGTTTGATAACACACACTATCATCTGCGAATCGTCGTAAAGCCAGGCCGTCTCTCGGTCTAAATGATTTTGTAACATCAATCCTGCGAATTCCGATGGGGATACCAAATATAAGTTGGCAATCATTGGGTGTGATTCTGAGCGACTTCCCACCAAGTGAGTATGTTCGTGTTGCTTTGTCGTATGTCCACAGGATCGTTAGGGATGTAATACGAGACCCGATAACACTATATTTTGTGATCTTGTGCTTTGCGAACGGGAGTACGAAGTTGTAGAAGGGTGTACGCCGTAAGCATTCGTAATGTGCTGGTGCAAGTGTTACATCCTCAAAGAATGAAACAACTGATTTCAAGCTCCCTCTGAATTGTGAGGTCCACGTACCATGGTTAAGCACTTGACGTGCCATGTCTCGAGTTTCATCTGAAAAAAATCATTTTTCTGTTTGTTACACTCTAATCATTAATATGCATAAATACATATAGTCATCAACACTTTACATGTTTTGGAGTAATGTAACACATATGCAGCCATAAATAATTCATGCTACCAATATGACTACAGAAGTTTACTACATCAATACACCAATTCAATTACAGGTTTTCATTATATGCTCAAACCATATCACATTCCCAATGCAAAAGTTAAAAATTGATAGCATGGAAGGTGGTAATGTGGCTGTATAACTACATATTCTGGACTAGTCACATATAGTTTATGATGGTAATGTGACTATGTAATTAACAATTTACCAACTTAGTTAGCATTATTCATCTATGTCATTGGAAGGTCGTTAAACACAGGGCTACAACATGACTCCATATGAATAGACCACAACATCTATTGTTGGCAAATAATACATCAACGCATACCCCAATCATGACTGCTGCC